GAAATAAAAATGAATGCATTTATTTATTCAACAAACATGAATTGAATGCCTACTATGCACAGACACTCTCTTGGGTACTAGCATATCATAAACAAAACTAACAAAATTCACTGACTTCACAGAGCTTACATTTTAGACAGAGAAGATTGACCTAGAGGAGGAAAGACAATACTCAACAAATGGAAAGGTAAAAAATGTGTAATAAGTGAAGTAACTTTAAATGCTGTGAACAAATATGAAAGAAGGTATATAGCAGCTGCTGGAGTGGAGATGGCATGCTATTTTATATATGGTGGTCAGGGAATGCCTCCCATCACTGAGTTAGATGGGAAATGATCTGAGGCAGAGAAATGACATGATTTCAGTATTGAAGGGATAACTCTAGCTATTCTGTTAAGAAGAGCCAGGATTCACTGACAGATTGTATTAGAGTGAGAAAGGAAAAGGTATCAAAGATGATTCCAAGGTGAATTCTAAGGAACTAGGTTCGGGACATATTACTTTGAAATGTCTTTTAGAATTCGAAGTGGAGATGTTGAGTCGGGAGTTGGGTATAAAGCATGAAGTTCAAAAGCCGGGTCTGGCCTGGAGATATAAATTTATCAGTTCAGAGATGCAAATTAAAGTCTTGAAACTACAAACATCAACCAAGAAGAGAGGGTGGAGAAGATAAGAGATCCAAGGGCTTAAAAGTTCAAATTTCCAAATTTCCAACTTCCAAGGTCCAGGTGATCAGTAAGAACCAGCAAAGGAGACTAAGCAAATGCCCTGGAGGAAGACCAAGAGAATGTGGTGGTCCAGAAGCCATATTTTGAAAGTGGCTCTTGAAGAAACACTGCTGATGTATGAGAACTTAAAATTTTTCTGTTGGAAATGTTAGCAAGTTGATGTCTAGTTATATTTTTAAAACTTGTTTTGGTAGAGGAATATGTGTGAAAGCCTATTTTGATTGTATCCGTGATTTAATTTATAGAGGTGACTGAGTGACAACATAGAGAGATCAATGCCATTGAAAGAATTTTTATTACTCGCAGTCCCCAACAGACGGGGATACACCACACCATGCAGGGTCACATGGGGTGAGTACCAGAGTCAGTCAGGAGGCAGAAGGTGTGAAAGGAAAGCATAGGCCAGAGTCTTTAGGGGGGTTTTCTCAGGAAGGAATGGGTGAGGCTAGGTAGGTTCATTGAGCACGCTTAGGATTGAATAGTTTGAATAATTTTGGTGGACTCTGGGGTATAGGGATGGACTCTAGTTGTCCAGTACCTGCCCTGGGGTGATCAGGGTTGGGTAATATTGGCTTGGTGCGTGAGAGTTTGATAAACGAGATGGTTGGGAATATGGGCTTTGCCAGGTTGGTCTATACCTGAAAGACATGCTCACAGGCACGTTGTTTGCCATCTCTAGGGATTTGCTAACCCTGGAAGGGCAAGTTCCTCCTTGGGTCTGCAAGCCCCCAAAATTTAAAAGCATCATAAAATACAGAAAATAAAAAATATGATTAATATAAATTCTCAATGGAGTGAATCTATGAGAGGAATCATAGGGGGAGGAGAACTGGAATCAAAGGGCAGGAACAGCTTTAATGAAAATTTTTCTAAAGGGGAGAGGAAAAACGGGGCAAGAGCTAAAGGAAAGAGGAAAGTCAAGAATGCGTTTTTCTTACTGTGGAACAATTTACATTCTGTTTCTATGCTGATGGATAATGATCAAATAAAGAAGGAAAAAATTGATGATGCACTAGATTCCAGAGGTGGAAGTTCTGACTTTGAATCATGGATAATTTACCTATGATTGGAAGAGGGCAGGCAGAGTATGCAGGCACAGGTGCAGATAGGTAGGTAAGTGTGGGAAGTAGAGGAAGTTCTATTCTAATTGATTCTACATTCTCAGTAAAATTGAGGTATTATCATGAGCTGATAGCGAAAATTATAGAAGCAGCATTAGAGGATTGAGAAGACAAAAGGTATGAAATAGTTGTCCAACAGAGTGGGATAGCAATTGAACTTGGAAAAGATACTAAGTTTGCCAGGAGACACTAAGAATCTGCTTAATACTAGTATTTACAAGATTAAAGTGGACCAGGTATGTATTCTTTCTTTAGATATATTTGGTCTCATAGGTACAGGTACAAAGTTTGTGGATTAGTTGAACTCAACCAGGTTTGAAGATTTTCCAGGGGCATAGAACAAAGGAAGAGCAGTATTAAGAATGTATGCAAGGAAAAGATTCTGATAAGGGGTCATGGAATCGATCTGTGTAAAGAACGTAGTAAAAGCATGAGTGGCAAGAAGAACAAAAGGAAAAATTAGTAAGATCATGGATGATGTGTTCTCATAGGGTCAAAGAACAGCTATGAAGAATTGCCTTACTATTTGTAACACATTGCTAGTAGTCTTGGAGGTTAAATAATGAAAGGAAATGTTTCTAGCTTCAAGGATCTTACAATTTGGTACAGGCAAAATGTATCATGATGTTTTCTTCATGATAAATTTATAAAATTTCTTTTACACCACATGGTTCTAGGTAAAGGTAGCTATGGAATACAAGAAAACATTCAAGTTTATTCATGTAAAAATAATGAGACATAAAGCAACTGCAAAAATACAGACAACAAAATAATTTCCCTAATTTAATCATGAGGTGAGGATACTGTAAATCCATTGGACCTCTTATAGACAGCAGTTTCCTGCCACAGATTGAGTAGCGTCTACACCCTCTCCTCAGAATATCACCAGGGTGAGTTGGATGTAACTTTTTCAGAATCTTGGTTTAAATGTCCTACTTTGTATCAGAATCTTTCATACAAACCACATTCATGAAGAAGGAACGAGGGCTTAGAGTATGTCTTAATCTAGTTTGAAAATCCAGCACCTGTGAGAGTGCCTAGCATTTAATATGTGATATGCATAAGGCATTGGCCATAGAGATCTAGATTTAAGCTTAGGAGGTATCAACATATTTATATCAACATCAACATCAACATATAAACATCAACTTGGCAGGAAAGGGTTAGCAGCAGGCTTGTACTCCATTCTCTCCCTTTACTAGATCATGTCCCTGGGAAAGAGAGGAGATTATATAGCCAATCTCCTTGGGAACATGTTTATGATAACACTCCTGACAAATATACTGACTTGCTCGTAAGAGAGTACTTATCTATGGAATATTTTCTCGGATATATATGTGTTATCTAGGATTGCTTAGGGCAAACAAAACTGGAATTTATAGATTTATAGAGAATGGCTTTCCGGAAAATGTTCTTTAATTTATATAAATGTCTACTTATAAATTGGAGATGTTTCATGACCAAAACATCTCCTTTTTGTATATATGACACACATCCACACACTACTTAGATCGCTCATACATTAAATCTGAGCCCAAGCATATCCTAGTCTTCCTTGGAGAGCTGTGTTGTTTGTTCCTGACTTCCTACTTTTCCTGTGCCTGATAATTACACATATCCTTGAAATTACCAGTAAATTTTGATAGTGAATAAGGTATTTTATTCTTTTGAACCTGATTTTACCATCTGATTCTTTGTGTTATCTTTATCCTTACAGTCACAAGGCCAGATGAAATCAATTAAATCAGATTACATATAGAACATAAAACCCTGAGGCTAGCCAAAATTTAGAAATTAGGAGTAGAAGGAAAATAACACTGAAAATAAATAATAAGATAGGAAGAAAACTGAGAGTTAAGAAATCCATAAAAAGAGTAAATGTTTCAAGAAGGAGGGAGTACTCCTTCGGGGAGGATGCCATTAATGGCTTGAATAAGATAAAGGCAGAAACTCTTGCTTGGATTTGGTAATATGGATAACATTGACAAAAGCAAAAGTTGTGGAGATGGAATCCAAAGTGAAATTATTTAACGAGTGAGTGGAGGCTGTGGAAGCAGAACTAGGAATCTAAGGTAACTCAAGAAATTTAGCTGTGAAAGGAAGTAGAAACATAAATAGTGGCTGTGAGGGAATGTAGTAGAACGATTTGTCTGAGGTCTTGTTTCTATTTTTAACATGTAATATAACAACAAAATATTTGAAAGTTTGCTGGAATTTCAAGTATAGAGCGTGCTATTGATGATAAAAGCATGAGAAGGGATAACTCCAAGTGTATATCCCTGAGAAGACAGGTGGACAACGAGATCCAGATCAAGAAGAGAGAGATAGGCTACCCACAGGAGCAACAGCGTTGTTTCCATTGAAGCAGGACTTGTAGCAGAGAACACAGGTAGGTAGATTTTATATATTTCTTCTACAGTTTTGGTAAAATGGAAGTAATGCATAGTCCTTGATCTCAAACTATTTCTATCTTAGTCATCTCAGGCTGCTATAACAAAATACCATAGACTGGGTGGCATAAACAACAGACGTTTATTTCTTACAGTTCTGGAAGCTAGAATCCAAGATCAAGGTGCCGCAGATTCGGTTCCTGGTGAGAGCCCTCTTCCTGGCTTGCAGATGGCCACCATTTAGCTTTGGTCTCACATGATGGAGAGAGAGCTCTTGTGTGTCTTCCTCTTTTTACAAAGACACTCGTGAACTCATCTAAACCTATTTATCTCCCACAGGCCCTACCTCCAAATACCATCACATTGAGAGTTAGGGCTTCAAAATACGGATTTAGGGGGACACGAACATTTGGTCCAAAACAACTTCCATTCTTATGAGTTTGGCAGGGAACCATGTGAATACTGAACTACTTGTATAAGTGGTTATACATACCAGGTACACACGACTAAGACTATTACTTAGTTATTTAGATTAAGTTTTAGATTAATTTAAAATGTTCTATTTACTTTTTTATTTACCCACTTATTAAAATTAGATTCGGTTATCTAGATTAGACTGAAAAATTTGAATTTTTAAAAAAATTGATTAAATTACATTAAATATATTTACAAAAATAGAACTACTCAAAATTTTAGTGTTTGTTGCCAATATTAAAAACTGTAATTATGCCCCACACATTAGGGCTAGATTTACAGATATTCAAACTTAAGTGTAATATGAATTGTTTAATGTTATAAAATGTAAATTAGCATCTTTTATAAATACTCAACTAATTTACAATTGCCTCTAGAATTGCAAATAGGATCACAAAAAGAGCAAGAAAATGGAAGTTTGGCACTACTCTAAAACAGTACTTTATTGTGGAAGAATCTCTTTCATTTATGCATTGGAAAGGAAGGATTTGACAAATTAATATTTCTTTCTTCTTATCTCAGCCCTTCTGCTGCTCAAATGCTCCCTGAGTTCAAAGTGAGGTCCACCTCCAAAGGCAGCAGCAGCAGGACACACAATACTCCCTACAACGTGGGTGTATGTAGCTTTTGGGAATATGTAGCTTTCGTTTTGCATACAGTGGCTAAGAGAGATGAAGTATTCCCCATTTCATGGGCCTGAAGAGTGTCAGTCGTGAGAGTAGATGTTTAGGATGTTACCATGCTCAATGACAGATCCTGAATGACAAGGCACTTGTGTTCCTTAATAACCTTTTCTTTTATCTGTTTGTGGTATTTGGGGTCCTTTGAAGTGTGGAGGCCAGGGCAGAGGTCCCTATGCCTAGACCTGGGAAAGTTACTGACAGAATATTCCACAAGTCTACAGCTAGCTAAAAGGGAGACAGAGATTAGTATTTCAAAACAGCCTGTCACTGTCCCTCACTCCCCACAAAAAAGTCGTCATTTTGATGTTAGGGAGGAAAAAGTGAATGCAAATTGGTAGGAACTAAAGGCATAAGCCACAAAGAGGGTAATCAAGGCAAAAGGGCATCAGAGATTCTCTAGCTATCCAAATGTGAAATCAATGTAACCAAAAGATAAAAATCAGTACTTTAAAAATAGAGCTGCAATTTGAACCTATGTCTAGTCCATAGGCAGAATTCCTGATAAGGGGAGAACTTCTTGTATGTTTTGTATGTTTAGGAAAAAGAATGTAGTAGGTTAATTAAAATAAATAAATAAAATGGAAGACCTACATGCATAGACTAAAGAGGAGACCTTCAATCAGAGTTTATTTGCATAAGGAATAAAAGGAATAATTAAATTCATTTTGCAAGTTTGGGAAACAGGTTTGTGGACAGAGAGAAAAGCAAGAAGGGGTGGAAGAGAAGGTCCTCAGGACAGAGAGAGAAGTTTGAGGCAGATGCACGGCTCTGAGGAAAAAGATGCCCAGTGATACTTTCTCTGTGAGAGTATGGGTGGAGAACATCGAGACAGTGATGCCTCATACTCAATAGTGCTGGTTCTAAAAGGAAACAATTAGAAGCAACTGGGATAGCAAGAATTTGAAGTCGGCAGGAAGTCAAAGAAAGACGTAACCATGGAAACATAAATGCCAAAAAAAATCTGGAATGTTAGAGAAGAATGTAGCCTCCTCATAATACATGAGATATGAGTTCAAGGCGTTTTATTTAGTTATTAAAGCAAAGTGTAGCCTCAGAATTCAGGAGGAGCTTGAAGACATCAGGGTGAGTAATATCTGATTTATGTTAAAATCATCTTTTTGTTTGAACTATATCACTAGCCACATGAATCCAAGTAGTCATTTAACTGTTTTGTGCCTCATTCCTTCTCATGTGAAGTCATAATAATCAAATCTGCCTTAGAGGTTTGTTATAGAGACAATGAGTATTATTGACCATACTCAAAGTTATGAAGTTAGAGGGTTATTAAGTATAAGTGTCATTCATACACAATTTCCCCAAAATAAACAAATCAACATTCTTAGCAAAAGTTCAGCTATGACATAGGAATATAGACATTCAATTAATGATCACAAATGTAAAGGTTTATTTTTAAATATAAAAATTAAATTATTTGACAAAATGTTGCAAATCCAAAATTAAATGTGTAAGAATAGAGTTGCTCATCCAGTTACAAACTAACAATAAAGGATATTTTGGTTCTTTTGGACCCACCAAAATCAGTAAACTATTTTGTAAGTTCTAAAAGTTCATCCATATGTTTTTGGTACAGGGGAAAGATCACTGGTTCACTGTTAGAAAAACTAAGTTAAAATCACAAATTCAATGCATTCTAGATGCCACTTGGCCTCCACTAGCCTCCTGGTACTTAGCATAACATGGAAATACTGGTATTTCACTGGCAGGGTTATTGTCAGGAGTAAATGAGACAGTGTACATCAAAGTGTTCAACATAACGCAGTAATATAGTCAAGGCTCAATAAATGTGTTCTATAATATACCTTCTGTTGGAGTCATGTTATTTTGGTTGTGCAGTTTAATTTTTACTCTGATATACCTGGGAATTCAATGAGCGCTCAATCTTCTTTTTGATTTAGGAAAAATTTTATTCAAGAAAAAATATCATGGCGTCTTTAGACCCTCTGCTCTGCAAAATCTAGTGATAGTGAGCATTTAAATTTTGTGCTCAATACTGTTTGAATAACTTCTGAGTAGTAAATGTTTTATCTCATTAAGCAGTCTTGTCTGTTGTCAACATTTGATCTCAACAAAGAAATAAATAAAAGAGGGTGTTGAAGTTCCTTACTCTCTTTCCAGGATCCATTGTCCTCAAGTGCCAGGAACATAGGGAGCCACTAATTGTCCTCAGGGGTCACGAAGCTGTCCTTAGGTTCAGGCTGCCTTTTCTATGCTCATTACTAGACCAGAGAAGGTAAAAAGGGACATTAAAGGCCTGCTAACCTTTTCCATAGAGCAAGCCTGAAGCAGTGGGTTCCTCACACTTTTTGAACCAGTAACAAAGGTGTCCTTTAAACCAAGCTCCTCCACTCCAGGGCCAAAGGAGGCCCCAAACACCCAAAAGTCCAAAAGAAAACTCTTCCCCAAAGCTAAGGCCATGGTTGGTTTAATGTTCTTGGTTTTAGACTTTGTATGTTCCTATTCTGAATAGCTCCCTCCTCCAAATTTTGAAATCCTTTTTCACTTTAGGAGGAAGAAAAAGATGTACCACTTTCTTCAAGTCTTTTCTGAACAATAATGGATTTACTTCTTTCACCATTGTTCAGCTTGTTCACCTTTCCAAGGTCAGTACCATATTCCCTCAATGCATGCGTGTGATGATGTACAAGCAGCTTCCTAGAGGAGGTTGGAATGTCCAGAACACATACAGGCAGTCAAGGTCTTGGCAAGGAGACCAGAAATAGCAGCGCTCAGAGAATGCTCTCTACTAACGAGCTGGCTAATGAATTGCTGTTGGAACCACAGACTGAAATGCCCCACACCTCCAACTTGGGTGCCGAAAATAGAAAAAGTAAAGTGGGACAGTAGACTACAAAGGCGTCCTCCCATGCTCTTTTTACTCTTGCATCAAAAATAAAAGATCGAGGGGCTGGCCTGGTGGTATAGTGCTTAAGTTCCCACACTCTGCTTCAGCAGCCAGGGTTTTGCAAGTTCAGGTCCCAGGTGTGGACCTAGCAACACTCCTCAAGCCACGCTGTGGCGGCATCCCACATAAAATAGAGGAAGATTGGCACAGATGTTGGCTTAGTGACAATCTTCCTCAAGCAAAAAGACGAAGGTTGGCAACAGATGTTAGCTCAGGGCCAATCTTCCTCACACACACAAAAATAAATAAATAAATAAATAATCAAGATCAGAGACTAAAGGCTATTTACGGCTATTTCAAATTTATACGATTTTTACGAGAAAGGACATACTTCTTTTGTAATGGCAGATTAATTGTAGAAATTAGAGAGAGAAAAATATTTAAAAGCCATGTAATTTCAGCTGTTCATCCCAATTACTCTTCAAACTTTATAATTAGCAGGATTTGACCCATCTCATTTCAAATCATTCCAGCGCCCCACCTCATCACTTTTTTGGAGAAACTGTTTCTCATATTAATATCCTCACCTGCAGCAGAATTTCTAATCTGGAGCCTAAAATTTTCTTTTGCTGGTGTCAGACCATTTCTTTTTATTATATCTAGCTGTCTTTTTTCACACCAAGGAAGTATAAATGTAAGAGAACATTAGGAGAAAACAGCAGAGTGCCACATGGTGACAGGGAAGAGACTTACAAGCCAGTTCCGTATTATTTTCCTTTATGAAGTAAATAATAATACTTGAAACACAACATTTATCTCACTACATTCCTACTCAAAATTTCCAATTGCTCCATAAGAAAAAGTTTAATTTTCTCTGCTTGGGATTCAAGGCACACTGCAAACATGTTCCTATTTAATATTTCTAGCCGTGACCTTCATTATTTAGTTATAGAGAAAACCTCCACAAATAACAAAGCAATCTCTTGACTTTTCTTCAAATAATCTTTTTGAACTTTTTTTAAAAGAATGTGTTTTTTCTGATTATAAACTTTTCTCAGTCTAAAAGAAGTTTTAAATATATACAGCAAATGACAAAACTAAAGAAAAGAAAAATATTCCAAGGAGACAGATCGTTAAATCAGAGAAGTAGAACCTGCCAATTAGCATTGAGAGATGAATGCTTAATATGGCTAGCAGTGGAAGAAATGTAAATTATAGCTCCAATAACATGCTGCTTTTTAGCCTATCATATTACATTTTTAAAAGTAATTTTAACTAGTTATTTTATAAATGTATATAATTTCTTGGCCAACACCATATTGATAATTTGCTTGTTTAAAAATTTTCCCTATTGTACTTTTCCTATCATCTCTATAATTGGAAGTTCTGAAAAAAACAATAGGTACCTGTGATATGCCAAGTTGCCCTCTAGAATGTCTGAGTGGATACTTCACCTCCTTCACGGCTGGCCAGCACAGTAGTGCATTATGTGCACTACACAAAGTTTCCTGGCCAAAAAGAGACTTAGGGAATAGGAGAGTGGGAAGGTAGAAATTTGGGCCACTCTTTGCTTGCCAAGTCCCACGCCCTATTAGAAGTCTGGGTCTTTTCTCATCTTTGTCATTTTTGTTAACAACAACACACTGAGACATTCCACCTTCTTCAAGTTCACTCTGTCAAAAATGGCTTATAGAGTTGCTCCATCAGAAGTGAAGACTAAGTTCTCATGGACACAACTGCTTCTTATTTTCTTAATACAGTGAATCATGTCTATATCAGAAATGAGTGTGAAGTTATTTTTACGTTCTCATTCAATTTTTTTTCTTATACACAAACAATAGTCCTAACACCATACAGTCAGGCGCTGCATAATGACATTTAGGTCAATGACAAACTGCATATATGACAGTAGTCCCATAAGATTAGTACCACATAGCCAAGGTGTGTACTAGGCTATACCATCTAGATTTGTGTAAGTGTGCTCTATGATGTTGGCACAATGACAAAATCACCTAATGACGCATTTCTCAGAACATATCCCCGTTGTGAAGTAACACATGACTATATATTGAATAATGCATTATTATTAGAACTGCTTTTTAAAGTAGTTTTTACTGAATTTTACCCATATATGGTTTGATTGAAAATCATTATTATGATATTTTATTATCTATTAATGCAAACCCACATCATTTTTCCTCTTTTAAAGAATGTCTTAGCTACTTTATGCAATATTTTTACTATAAATTTTTGAGTAGTTCAGTTGTAATTTTTATTGCAATTGTATTTATATTTACACAATATTAGAGGAAATAAAATCTTTATTATATTCTCTTTGCCTTCTAGGAAAAAAGATTTTCTCTCATTAAATTCTTTTTTTATGACCCTCAATAATATCTTATAGTTTTCTTCATATAAGTCCTGAACATTTCTTGTTAAGGTTATTTATAGGTCCTTTAAAATATTTTCTGTTTATTACCAGGATCTGTTTTTTATTACATTTTCTAAGAGGTTATTGCTGGCATATAGGAAAGTTATTGATTTTTAAATAATTTTAAACTGGACTACTCACATATTTTTTTTAACTGTGTTAGATTTTCAGATACTTGCCTTGGATTTTCCAGACATACTATTATATATCCCACAAGTATTGCCCGCAGAGTGCAAATGCCTAAATGCATCGAGTCAGGCACAGCCATAATGCATCAAGAGATTCAAACACTAATCTTCTCTTACATATGTCTCACTATCAACTTTTCCTTCCAAAGGTTAAATAACATAGTAGTTTTACTGCAACAACAGAACAAAACTCATGTATGATTGCACACCTGTAATTTAGATTTATAGTAAGAACAGATCTAGTTTAATGTAACTGCTGACAAAAGTCATTGACAAATAACTCAAGCTTACACAGGGTGTTATTTTTCAGTCTGCTCAGGGCCATTTTCACTCTTCTAGGATCCGAAGTGAACAAAGAAATAAGCTTAAAAACAGAGGCTCAAAGGGGTTTTCATGTACTCAGAAGTCACATTCTGAATACACCTTCCATCACCCAACTATTTTAAATACCTTTGTAAAATATAGAGTTATAACAGTTGTTATCACAATTTTGTTAACAATATCACTTCATGTTTACCAAACATTCATTCTGTGGTGCCCAGTGTTGGGACAAACACATGAGCAGATATCACAACACGAGGGGTGGGCAGATGTGATCTTGTTCAGTTAGCTGCTTAGCCATACTCCCCATCACACTAACAGCTTCAGAACTCACCTGAGAGTATTGGTTAGTAAATTGGGAGCTATATTGAAGGAGTGCTCATCAACGCTTTAGGACCAGCTCTCCAGTTAACCTGCCAGGTAATTCTGTGTCCCTTTGTCTGATTTTCGTTACATATAAATTATGAATTATATTGATGATTCCACTGTTTTTCTAAGGAAACAATATTTTTCAAATAAAAATTTGAAAGAAATTCTCACTCCAATTATGTAAATTTCCATAAATCATTGCTTATACCTCTATTTTAAAACTAGACCACATATTCATTTGTTATTTAAGTAGCTATTAGGTTGTGCTCCTCAAAGGCACAGATGAGGGTGTTCAGATGTTTTGTGTAGAGGTGCAAACATAATAGGCGCTTAATATATGGTTTCTGAAGGGAACAGCAAGGCAAAACAACTCAAGGCAGAAGGAGATAACTGGCTAAAAACAGTCCAGCTATACAGATTCAATAGAAAAAAAAATTGATTTTATACCCTCTTTTCCATCTTAACCATATTTACTTTGGTATATAAGAAATGAATGAAAACCATAGTTTCATGTGGTAGTATTAAGCAGGGAATGTGGCTAAAAGCCTTTGGACGATGTCTCCTACAGATCAGCTCGTGTACTTTTAGTGAGCAGCATAAGAGGCACATAAACATCTGAAAGAGGTCAATGACATATTGAGGTCCTGAAAATGTGTCCTAACATAAAGAATTTCAGTAATCTTGAAGGTGAACATGTTTTTGAGCTTTGAGAAGGTCTAATTTTTCTCAGATAAATTACTCATCAAAATAGTAGGACCTTATGGGAATTTTAGGCTCTCGAACAGTCTTACAGCAATTCATATCACAGACATCCACTTTTGCTATAGAATTGAGAAAAAGCTGAAGAAACAAATTTGGTAGATCTGGAAATCATATCACCCAAGCTCATACACAAGTTCACTCACAGATTCATTTTATAGAAATTACCACAAATGTGTTGCATACAAGACCAACCAGCCTTTTTGGCCATGCTTACCTTCATTGCCACAACTAACAGAAACTATCTGAAGATGCAGATTTCAATTTAGGTTGAAAAAGGAAACAGATTCTCTTACTAATCACAATATCCTGGTAAATTTTCTGAGATAATATTTTAAATCCTTTCTTCTCGTAGTATAATCTCCACATCCTGTTTCTATTGCGACTGTACGTGAGATTTTCAGACTCCTTTGGCATCTACTTTAGTTGTCTGAACACACTATGTTCAAAGGACAGAAGAGTCATTTAAATACACACACATTTAATTTTAATCCAAATTTCTCCAGAGAATTATATTTGGTCTCCTTTAACTAAAATCCATCTGCCTTTCTCTAGAACTCATCAGCTAGTTTAAATGCCATTAAGTCAGCCACAGACTGTAAGGTTTATGAAATTTCAATATCTGCCCTTGCAAAGGCAATATTTTCATATTATCTATGAAAAGGTCCTGGTAAAGAGATCTGGGAGCTT